CGGCGTGTGAGGTGTGTGGGGAAGAGGGGGGGGGGGGGGGGTGCAGGGGCATATGTTGCGGAGCCGCGCGCCCTGGGGAGCCCGGTGTACGCCTTCGTTTTGGTGGTGGGCTTGCCGCCCGGGATCGGGTCCGTCAGCGTCGTGGGAGCACCCACGGCAAGCTTGAAGTTGCGGGTCGCGGCGCCGGCGACGGAGGTCGGGTCGCCCTCCTTTGAATACGCGTACGCCGCAAGGCCGAGCGCAGAGGCGCAGCTGCCGAGGAAGATCATGTTGAGGGTGTACAGATCGGGGTCCTCCCACACCGTCGCGTTGGCGCACGACGAGTTCGTCGAGTTCTCGTCCACCGTGCACCACAGGTAGACTGGCGGCGGCGGCGGCTCGGGCGACGGCGGCGGCGGCGGAGGAGGGTTGGGTTGCGGCGGCGGAGGAGCGACGCAGTACGAGTAGTCCACCTTGCGGCCGCGGTACCAGCAGGCCGGTTCGGGAGGCGGTTTGGGCGGAGACGGCGGTGGCGGGCTTGGCGGAGGCGAGGGCGCGGTCCACGGCGGTGGCGGCGGCACGTCAAAAGAGGCCGCAGCGATGCCGTCGAACTCGCGCTCGACCGCGGTCGCCGGGTCGTACGAGTATGTGGCCTGCCCGCTGCCGAACGGGTTCCAGATCTGGCCGGCGACGCCCGATAGGAGGGCGGCTGCTGACAGGATCCTCATTGCTAGACGACTCTCTCCTTAGCAACCCGCCGCGTTTTGAGAATAGAAAAATCTTCCGGCCGCCGCCGCCTTTGCAACCCCCTCCCTGGCCTCCTCCATCAAGTCCTTTGCCCTCGCCTCCGCCGTCCGACTCCTCGCCCCCCTCTCCCCTACCTGCCTCCCCACCGCTTCTCTTTCCGCCGCCGCTGTCTCCGCCTTGCCCTCCCCGCCGCCGTCAAACCCCCCGCCCTCTACCTCCGTTTCGGCCTGCCTGGCTGCGGCGGCCGTCACTCCCTTACAAAACCGTCGCTTTCCGTCACTTGGAAGCCGGGAAGTTTCCGAGTGACGGGTAAAAGTGACAGCCAAGTGACAGGAACGTGGGTCGTGGCAAAACGGCGGCGACGAGGCGCGCCCAGGGCCAACCTCCGTTTCGGCCTGCCTGGCTGCGGCGGCCGTCACTCCCTTACAAAACCGTCGCTTTCCGTCACTTGGAAGCCGGGAAGTTTCCGAGTGACGGGTAAAAGTGACAGCCAAGTGACAGGAACGTGGCAAAACGGCGGCGACGAGGCGCGCCCAGGGCCAACCGCGGTCGATGGCCTCGCCGTCTCGCGCTTTTCCTTACGCAATGGCCATCCTTAGGTGATTGGCAGCAGTAGCCGTCGCCTAGTGCGCGCCTCGAGACGGCGCCGCGCACGATTACTCGAGTAAGAGGTAGAAGAGTTGTCGAGTGTTGATCGGCAGACGTCGCATGTTGTCGTCGGTGCCAGTTTTTCGTATACGAGGAGAGAATAACGAAAGCACAAGTTTTCAACATACAAATCCAAGAGCCACATGCGCTCTCAGCATAGTATTCGCACGCACGGCAAAACTACCGCACATTGCGAGGCGGCCCGAGCGCGAGGCAGCGGTTCTTGCCCTCAGCCTGTGCGCGCGTCTGCAGCGACTTGAAGCGCGCAACGATGGCGCGGAGCGAGAGTTGGCCAGGACGCTGCGAGGCACGCTCTTCTTAGCATATCGCCCGCAAGGATCTCCAGCCAGCGCACCTCCTTAGACAGCACTTGGACAGCACTTGGACCTTGGAGCGCAGTGTGCGGATCGAACAGTCACTGCGAAACTTCCCGGCCTACCAAGTGACGGTTTTTGCCCCGAAGTGACAGTAAAGTGAAGGTTTTCGCGGCAAGTGGCGTTTTGCGCACGACACACCGCTATAATCTCCCTCGCCTCCCTCCCCTCCACCGCCAAACCATCTGCCCTCTCCTCCGCCTTCCTCTCCGCCGCCACCGTCTCCGCCATCTCCTTCATCTCCGCCTCCCTCTCCGCCGCCACCGCCACCGCCATCGCCACCGCCTGCACCGCCGTCCCCGCCACCGTCCGCGCCTCCGCCGCCGCACCAGCCACCACCCTCTCCGCCACCACCATCCCCACCACCGCCCTCTCCACCTCCACCAAGTCCTCCGCCCTTACCTCCACCTCCCTCTCCGCCACCACCAGCTCCGTCGCCGTCCCCCCCGCCCCCGCCCTCTCCGCCACCACCCTCTTCGCCTCCCCCATCGCCGTCGCCGCCCCCCTCTCCTCCGCCCCACCAACTTCCCCCGCTCCCGCCCCCCTCTCCACCGCCGCGGTCCCCCCCACCACCTCCACCGCCGCCGCCACTCCGTATGGACCTGCTCGGAATAGCCTAGGGGATCCGGAACCGCCCCGCCGGAGGCTGGAGTACCCGGGAGGAGAAGCTGGGGGGGGGAGAGTTGCCGCAATACGGTAACGGACCCGCCGACGAGCTGGGGAGCCGAGGCCGGAGGGCCCCGGGGGGGGCTTGGGGTCAGCTGTCGGAGGAGGCGAGAGATGAGCTGACGCGGCCTCTGCGAGTAGAGTCGGGGCGTACGGACGAGCCGAGAGACCGCGGGGGCGGGCGCGAGTCCTCGACCGAAGAGAGCTGGCCCCACTTCCCGGGGAGGGGCGGCGTGGCGATCCAATGCCGCCGCCCTCGTCCGAGGAGTCGGGCACGGGATCGCCGGAGCCGGAGTCAACAGGAGCAGGCAGAGAGGGCGAGACGGCGGCGGGGCCGCGGCCGAAAAAGGCTAGGAGGGGGAGCCGGGCCCGCATCCGTTGCCCAACCAGCGGAAAGCGAGTGGGGGGAGGACCGAGAGGATAGGTGGGCTCCTCCGGACCGAGGGGGGGAGGCTGCCGAACGGAGAAGCCCCGAGGGGTGACGTCGAGTGAGGATGTACGTCGTGTACGTGCTAGAAGTGTTTATGTATGTAAAAAAGGGAAGCAGTCGAGAGGACAGGGGAGGGACGCGGCCAGAAAGAGGGCGGGCGCCGAGTTTCGAAAGCCGGCGCTTTCGCGCGTTCGAAGAGGCTTTGCACGGAGTTAAAGCAAATTTGCGGTTGGCCTTCGCGCTGCGGCGAGATGGCACCGCAGGCGGCGTGCGTGCACGAGGGCGGCGGCGTCGAGCGCCGAGCAGCACACCACGAGCGCGAGCGGCAGCGCCGACGACGGGAGGCGGCGGGCGGCTCGACCGAGCCGGCGGCGGAGGAGGCGACGGACGTCGAGGCGGTGAGCGCCGCGGACGTGCTGGCCGGCGTGGAGGAGAGCGGTCCGAACTACGCCCTTCCGACGGCGAGGGAGGGCCAGAGGGAGCGGCGGGAGCGGCTGCGGGTGGACGAGACGGCGAAGCAGGCGGGGCACACCATCGTGGAGACGGGAACGCACGTCGAGATCCTGGGCGAGCAAGGCTTGTGGTGGCCGGCCACCATCGCGGGGCGGGAGGAGGACGTGGACGGCCGGCTCGTGCACGAGGTCGAATACGACGGCTACCAGGGCGAGCAGTACTGGCACATGCTTGACGACGAGCAGTGGCGGCGCGCGACCGCGATGCCGACGCCAGCCGACGGCACGAATGCGGCGGCCTCCACAGAGGGCGAGGAGAGCGGCGGCGAGGAGGGCGGCGGCGAGGAGAGCGGCGGCGAGGAGGACGCGGTCGCCGCGGGGACGCGAGCGGGCGCGCATCGCCGCGCGGCGACCGCGCAGCATAGCGAACTGGCCGACCTGCTCGACGAGATGGACGACGAGCGGCAGGAGGAGGCCATGCGGGCGGACGATCAGCCTTTGCTGAGGCCGCACGGGCCGAGCCTGTCGCTTAGCTCCGAGTAGAGGGGGCGCTCCGCTGCTAGGGGTGTAGGGGAAACCTGGAGCGCGGACTAACCCTCGGAGACCCGTGTTTACTTTAAGGCCCTTGCCCTGCGAACGCGCACCCCCGGGGCTAGGGCTCTCTTGCCCGCAACCCGATCCCGATGCGACGGTGTATCATTCACTTTATGCCACCGTTGCATATCCGGATATGAAACGGTGGCATAAAGTGAAGGATATGCAACGGTGGCATAAAGTGAATGATACACCGTCGCAAAACTGCATTCCTGGGTCCTGCGGAGATGCATCCGGGTTGGGTACCGGCCGAGAGTTTGTCAACCCTAAGGGGGGGGTCGGCCCCCTGACAACGCCCGAATGGGATTTTTGCGCCGAGTCGAACTGCGGGATTCGAACTCGAGACCCAATGCAGTTTTGCGACGGTGTATCATTCACTGTATCCCACCGTTGCATATCCGGATATGCAACGGTGGCATAAAGTGAATGATACACCGTCGCACCCGACGATCATCCGGCCCGCTGGGTGCGCTCCTTAGCTCCCCGGCCCTGGATGTGAGGCTAATGACTGCACTCCAAGTGCTCCAAGTGCTCGAAGCGAGCAGGAAGGCCATGTGTGTGGTGGCGGCGTGCCGTCCTCCCATCCCTCCCTTAGTTTGTCCGTTTTCTTTCTTTCTTTCTTTGCCATGGCCGAAGGGCCCCGGGTGAGGCTTGGGGTCAGTTGTCGGAGGAGGTGAGAGATGAGCTGACTCGGCCTCTGCGAGTGGAGTCGGGACAGACGAGCTCACCGGGGGCAGACCCGTCGCGGCGACAGTCGGACCATCGTGAACTACGATAAGGAGGGCCACGCCTCCCCGAGCTCGAGGAGGAGTCGGCGGAGGGGGGGGGCGAGCCGAGGACGATAGAGAGACCGCGGATGCGGGCGCGATTCGTCGACCAAGGAGAGCCGGCCCGACCCCCCGGGGAGCGCGGGAGGGGAGGCGGAGGGGATCCAATGCCGCCGCATTCGCCTGGGGAGACCTCGGCCGGGCCGTCGACACCTTCGGAATCGGTGGAGCCGGGAGAAGCTGGCGAAGACGAAGGGCGGCAGCGGAGAAAGCGACACCAACAACGAGAGGGAAACGACCACGACCGGCTGTCGCATGGACGCTCGGGAGTCGAGCAAGAAAGCGAATCAAGGAGGGTCGGAGCCCTGGGAAGAGGGGGGTGAGCCCTCGGACGGGGGGGGGGTCTACTCAAGCATCTGCGCAAGTGAGTGCGGAGTGGTGGTGTGGGGCGTGTGCAGTGTGGTGTTCACTAGCTCCGAGTAGAGGGGGCGTCCTGCAGTTAAGCTTAAGGGGAAACCCGGTACGCGGGGCCAACCCTCGGAGACCCGTGTTTACTTTACGGCCCTTTCCCTGCGAACGCGCACCCCCCAGGGCTAGGGCTCTCTAGCCCGTAAACGGCTACCCCGATACCGATCATCTCTTGGTCCGCTGGGTCGTGGGTGCGCTTCTTAGAGCTCCCCGGCCCTGGATGTGAGGTTACCGACTGCCCACTCCAAGTGCTCCAAGATCGATTACTCCAAGATCTTTCGCTGATAGCAAACTGGCAAAGATGAATAGAGAATGCACAAAAAAGAGCGAGGAATCCGACCGCCGTACTTCCCCCACCCTTTCTCGTTTTTTTATCGTGCCGAGCCAACCCGAGATGCTGGGGGGAGCCTAGGCGAGACAAGGTTAGCTGTTGGGTGCTGTTCCCACCAGCAGGCTGGAAGTACCTCGCCAGCCATCTGCAGCTATCCTCCCAAGAAAACGTTTCTTTCTCTTTACACACACACACTGTGCCGCAATGTCTTTCTTTGCAAAGTTGGAGATGTCCTACGAGTAGGCCACCGGCGCGCGGCGGACGAACACTGCTCAGGTGGGCGGTCAGTCGGACGTGAACCGTGCTAGGAACCGTGGCTCTCCGCGCATCGGACGGGCGCGCGGAGATGGGAGGGACACGCGGTGTGAAGGCGCGCGGGAGGAAAGGGGGAGCGCTAGGCTTTCGGAGCGAGCCGCGTGGTGAGCTCTTCGTACTCCTGGCAGGTGGCGCACGGACCGCACCAGTAGTGAACGCAGCAGTCACCGCACGCGTTGCCTGGGAAGAGCAGGCGGAACACACGCTTTGGGAAGAGTGGCGGGCTGCGAGGCGGGGGGGGGGGGGGGAGGCTGATGGGCGGGCGCCTGGAATGTTGTACTTCTCGCGGAGGTTGGGGCGGACGTAACAGCCACCGACCAGGGAGCCAAAGTGAGCCAATCCCGCGAGCGGGCCGAGGGCGAAGATTGCGACGCCCTGGATGGTGCCGCCAAGGACCGCGTGCAAGCAGCAGAGTCCTCCGGCACCGTCACACACCTGGACGACCTCTCCCGTCTCGATCATCTTCTGGTTAGCACCTGGAGCAGATGACTCGCACATTGCTTGCGCGCGTGTGTAAGCAGGAATTCCTAGGTAGAAGGCATTCTCGGTTTTCTGCAACGGAGCAGATGACTCGCTGTCTTTTGTTCGGTTGTTGCGTCTCGCCCTCCCCCTCTCTCTTTGGCACGCGTCAGCGCACCAACGACGCAGCACGGGCAGCAGCAGCCAGCGCATCCGGCCGACTTGCAGCACCCACCGCAAAGGCCGACCTAGCAGCGGCGAGGGCGATTGTGGCTGCGGCGGTCATGGCGAGGGTAGCGGAGGAGGGGCTGCGTTCATAGTGTTGGCTGAGCTGGGAGGCGGCATTGGAGCACGGAGGACCTGCCACGCCCCCGCGCCATCGGAGGCCGGGGCGGCCGTCGTGGACGACTTGTCGTCGGGGGCGACGGCTGGCACGGGAGAGACCATGTCTGTCAGTGTTTGTGGCGTTTATGCGTGCGTTATGAGGTTGCGCTGCTCGTCAAAATGTAACAGTCGAACGGACGCTCTGCCCACGCTTCAGCTGTTTTAGCCCCCCGCTACCCGGTTGCACTCGTGCGACGTAGCGGGGGGCCACAACTACGTTTACGAAAACATAAGTAGTCCCGCGAGGTGTGAATTTGGCCGCCCCAGTAGCCCCCTTTCCATGGGCTTGATTTTGCGGCGCGTCCCAAAGCGTCCAAACTTCTTTGGGCGCGAACCGTATCTCGCAACGAATCTCGCCGGCCTCACCGGCCCTCTTTGCTTTGACCGACGCTACCGTCCGCTCGACTGGCCGATGAAGAGCGACCCGTACGACGCGCACTTGTCGTCCTCCCTCCTCGCCACATGACGGCCGCCCCCCGACACCGACAGTCGCGCTCCGCACGCCTTCGAGGTCAGCTGCGGCCGAGCGACGATCGGCTCGCTCCGATCGCTGGGCGCGGTCACTCTCCGGCCCATCACCCGCCTGCCGATCACCTGTCCGCCTCGCCGCGCGCGGGCCGCTCGCCTGCTCGCCACCGCCGCCGCGCGTCCCCGCGCCGCCACGCTTCCCTGTGCACCTGACCGCGCTCGAGCTGCGCAGGCAGACGGCGCGCTCTGGCAGACAGAGCAGCGGCCGCCCAGGCGGTCGCTGCTCCGCCCCGTCCGAATCCGTCCGCCCGCGCGTGCTGCTGCTGCCGCCGCCGCCGCCACCGCCGCCGCGTTTCCCCGCGCCGCCACGCTTCCCCGCGCCTGACCGCGTTTGAGCTGCCCGCAGGCAGACGCGCCGCCTGGCAGACAGAGCAGCGGCCGCCCAGGCGGTCGCTGCTCCGCCCCGTCCGAATCCGTCCGCCCGCGCGTGCTGCTGCCGCCGCCGCCGCCGCTCCACCCGGTGCCCGTGTCGTGAGAGTTGCTTTGTGTATGTGTAATATGTGTGTGTGGGGACTTATGTCACACTTGAGCCTCTATCTACGGTGTATGATACTCGAGTAGTAGACCGGTACTCGGGTTTGGATGGTAGCGGGGGGCCCCGCCGGAGGCTGGTTACTGATTTTGAGCTAGCCTTCGATTTTAAGATTGACGAGCGGGCGCGGATTGTGAAGGGAGGCGCGCCGCGATAGCCATCCCTGGGACTCGGGGGCGAACGAGGAACGTTGCCGGCGGTGCCGGGCACCGTACCCATACTACTCAAAAGTACAATGAATGTACTACCACAAAGCTCAAAGGCACGTAAGCACCACTAGCGATTTCGCGCGGAGGGCGTAGTGAAGCGCTGGGGCGCTCACTGTGTGTTATTCGGGTGGGGATCCATCAGTGGTAACCGGCTTTAGTCACAGGTCCAAGCTCAGACGCCACACCAACACCACAAACACGCTCACTTCGCCGCTGCTGTAGATGGGCCGCCGGGGCACATACTACGTCGAAGTACGGACCCGATCTCGGCACTCACGGGCTGACACGCGCCCGCGCGCGGCGCGGGCCGCACCGCCCATGCCCCCGGGTCACCGACCCCGCCTCTCGGCCCTCTCGGCCCTCAGGAGCGTGCGGGAGACCGGCGAGGGGCGCGCCGCGCGCCGCCTGCAGAGCCGCCAGAGGCATTGCCGCCTCCGCTGGCGGTGTCCCGCGCGTCCGCCCGCGCCCGCCCACGCCCACGCCGCGCCCGCGGGCTCCGGATGCGCCGCCATCCTTCTCCTTCTTCTCGACGGCAGTCCGCGTGTGCTTGTCGACGGGTCGGCGGCGTGGTCGAGGGGAAGAGGTCGCCGGTGGCCGCAACTCCGCCGCTGTCGCTCCGCCGGCTCTGACCGAGTATCGGGCGTTGAGGGCGGCGGCGCAAGCGGGTCTGGCGCATCCATCGCCACGAGCCTCGCGACCGCGGTCGTGGCACACCTGGCGGCGGCTCTCGGGGCCGTCTCTACGGCGCTCGACGCCGTGTGAGGTCGCCGGCGGCCGCAACTCTGCCGCCGTCGCTCCGCCGGCTCAACCGAGTATCGGGCGTTGAGGGCGGCGGCGCAAAGTGGGTCTGGTGCTCCACACGGCCACAACCCTTGCCACCGCCCTTGCCGCCGCCCTTGCCACCCTTTGCCGCCTTGCCTCCGCCGCGGGCGGCGGTGGGAGCGGCCTGCTGGGCTAGCATGTTGTCCTTGCTGGGGACGGGCACGTGGAACGCACGTTACATGTTTTAACGGCCTCCAGAATTCAAACAAAAAATATCCAAGGCCCTCTCGCAACCCCCCTGACCCCCCGGGACCCATGGGCGTCGAAGAGGCGCTCTCGGGGGGCCGTTCTGAGTTCATACTACCTCGAAGCACACTGTACTGCGTCAAAGCACCGGCCCTGAGTCCGCCGGGTCCGACTATCGATCCTCTCTGTCTGTGACTATACACACATCGAGTCGTACGTACGCCTGATTGACGCACACCCTGAGTTGTGAGTAAATAAACATCACACACAATTCTGCGATGCCTCCTACGCCGAGGCTACCCCTGAGTCGACCGTGGGTGCAGGCCACATATGGGAGGCGGTGGCGCGGGACGCGGCGGGAGTGAGGAGACTCTGCAGACACTTTGCACTGTTCACACGACACACCCCATCCGTCCCCATCCGAGCTGGAAATGGTGTGCTCTCGCGTTTCTCCTGGCTCCCACACACACAAGCTGAAACCTGAAAGATGTGTATTGTGTTCGCACGGGCCCCGCCCACACAGTGTCAGTGATTAAACGAGCTGTGCCGGATAGGCAGGGGTTGGGTGGTTTTTTACGTATGTATATTCTACACAACGAAACGTCTGCCATCTCGCCAACACACCGCAACCGAAGGGTTAGCCCTTTCCGCCGAAGCTGGCCGTAAGGCCGACCACCAACTGAGATGAATGACAGTCAAGACTGAGGGAGGCAATGACACAAGGCCACGAAATTTTGCAGCCCACCCACCGATCGCACCGTCGTGGCCACGCGCAACCTCTCCCCGAGGCCCGGCCCCATCAGTCGCGGTACCAGTCCGCCCCCGAATGGAGCGCCTCGTCCACCTTGAGGCAGTTTTCGAGCCCGTGCTGAGACCTGCTCGGGACGGGCGCAGCCGTGAGTACGTGGACGTGTGCACCGGAAAGACGGATCGGCGACAGGAGTGGAGCATCTACGTGCCCGCACGGAGGCTGCCACGTGCCGGGCAGGCTGCTCTCGGCGAGGCTCGACTTGCCGTCGGCCGCCGCGATGAGGTTGGCAGAGATGTTACTGGTCACGCCCTCCTCATTCGTCGCAAACAGCCTCGCGTCGTCCTCGAGCAGCTCTGCGGTGGCCGGGGTGACGGGGGCGGCGGGCACGCCCTCACCCGCTGGCCTCAAGAGGGCGCTTGCTGAGGTCGGAGGCAGACTCTCCGCCGGCTGCACCGCCTGGCCACTCGCGGCCGGACCGCTCGAGAGGGCCTCCGTCGCACTCACCAGCGCCGCCTCAACCACCCTCTCGTCCGCCGCCTCCTCGTGGTACCAGTGCCGCCCCGCTCCTCCGGTGACGGCGCTCGAGTTGTGCAGCCCCGCCTCCTTGGGCGCCTCCCACCGGATCTCACCCTCGTCCGCCTCGCCCTCATGCAAGACGGCCGCGTTGCCGCCAACCGCAGCGGCGAGGTTGGCGGACAGGCCCTGCAGGCGGCGGGTGGGTGCGGCAAGGATGACTGCCGTGCAAGGGGCTGGGAATGGCGAGTGCGCGGGCTTGGAGCGGTGGGGTGGGAGCTCCTTGAGGTCTCCGGCGTCGAGGTCGTCGTCAAAGTCGTCAAAGAGAGAGTCCTGCGAGGACTGCGTCGAGGAGGCCGGCTCTCGCGCCGGCCGCCGCGCGCCAAGCAAGCCGTCCGACGTGAGAGAGCCCAGTGAGTCGAGCATCTGCGACGAAATCATGTTGCGCGAGGTGCCTCCGGCCGCGACGCGGGGACCAACGAATATCGTTACACGACTTACGCGGATTCCCGAATCCCCTCTGCGCTGTGAGAGCCGGCGTCGTTATTCCGACATACTCTTAAATGTGCGAGTGTGGCGCGCGGACTGGGATTCCGACTTCGGACTTGCGCTCTGCGCGCGGTGCTCTCCCGGCCTCTCGCCTCTCCCCCGCTCTCGAGCTCGCGGGGACCTCGGGGTGCGCTGCGCGCGTGCGGGAGTGAGAGCGTGGGAGCGGAAAACGAAGAGTCCGAGCGACCGCCGCCCCACACACATACACAGTGTACTTACTCAAAACGACCTCTCCTAGCGTACAGTTGTAGAGGCGCGCCCGCGCCGAAGCCGAAGCCTTAGCAGCCCCTGCCAAGCATCTCGCACATCTCCTCCGCCTTGAGCCGGTTGAGCTCCTTCCTCTCCTTGTCTGTCAGCCCGCCTCCGCCGAGATCGCCCTTCTTCTTCAGCTCCTGCAGCACACAGTGGCAGGGGTCAGTGCGGCGCAGAGGCGCGGTGGCCGGCAGGCCGCTGGCCACCTCGATGCGAGCGTACTGCTTTGCAACCTTGGGCTGCTTGGGCTTGGACGCGTCGATCGTGACGGCCTGCACCGCGCTCACCTTGATGGGAGCCGCCGCCTCCTCCGGCGCATCGAGATCGCCGAGGCCGTCGGCGTGGGCGGCTCGCGTGGCCCCGAGAGCAGCAGCGGAGGAGAGGCCGGCGAGGAGCGACCGGCGCGAGAGCGCTGGCGCCCCTGGGCTCGGCGGCAAGCGCAGCGCGTCGCAGCCCGCGAGGAGCGCGAGGAGCGCGCTGACGAAGAGCTTCGACATCGACTAAAAGAATTTTAATTTTTCATGGGAAAAACACAGGAGGGCATCGACGCCTCCGCTCGTGAGGTCCGTTCCTGTTTCTTTTCCCATATCTCTCCAAGTTGGCTCGCTAGCGTAAAGCCGTAGCCCGTGTGCTCTACGTCGACGTTGTGCTGCGCGCCCACACACACGTGCGCCGCCCGTCCGCCGCGCGGGAGCGAGGCGCCGGCAGCCCGCACCCCACACAGATGCGACAGAGACACACACTCTCACTCCGCGTGCTCGCGGAGGGGCATGCTGCAGAGTGCAGTCGCCTCGCCGCGCGCTGCCCGGAGACTACCCCGCAACTCACTCTTTCAGCCCGCCCCAAGCCCACTCATCCTCACTGGTGACCTCGTAGATCCCTGTGTCGGCTCCCAGGAACCGAACGCGGAGCCCCTTGGCGAAGAGGCTCGTGACGACCCCCTCGTACCCCACCTTCTCGGCCCCTTCCTGGTACCACACGGAGAGGGCGGCTCGCAGGCAAGCTCATGAGAATTTTACAACAAAACTCCCTCTTTACGACACTAGGCACGGGACTGGCGCGCACTGGCACTAGCACAGGTACACCACGGGAGCCGCGAAAAGAATTCTAGTCCAATCGTGCCCTCAAATCCCTCCCTTGGGTTGTTTTTCTTTCTTTATTTTTTCGCGAGCAGGCCAAGGGCAAGGCACTTTTTTCGTCCTTCGCACCTCAACCGACAACCCCCCTCAACCCCTGAACCACCGCTCCGGGCCCGATCCTCGTCCAGGTCCTCGTCCTAGTCCAGGTCTCGTCCTAGCACCTAGGGGGCCGGATGCCGGATCTGACTCTCGTAGACGAAGGAGAGTGTAGTCCTGGCTCTGGTGCGTGGACCGTGGTGGCTGGCCTGGCTCCTGCCCCCTCCTGGTCTGCGATCTACCGTACCTGCGTCTCTCGGAGTACGGAGAGATCTCGATTACTCCATCTCTACACGAACTACATCGATAGCCGTGCGTTTTTATTTAATCTTAACAAAAGTCGAGCCTCCTCACAGAACGGAAAATGAACGGTTAGACAGCAGTGGGGCGGGCAAGGTGAAGTCCATGAATCGATCCGAAGGAGTCGACGACTACCGCCTCGCCATTGTGGTGATCAATGGTGACCCCGAGGAAGCCGGGGCGTAGGTACCCAGAAACCGATGCAACAGTTCCCCTTAGGGAAAGGTGACGGTTGCCCGCGTAGGACTCGCGCGGAAGCATGAGCACTTGCTGCACGTCTGGGATAGGCACCTCTTCCCACGGATCGCAGCGCATCACGACGAGCTGAGAATGGTCATACTTGTAGTCGAGATCAAATGGCTGAAAGTGCATTCCGCGATAAAAGGGATGTGGCTCCTGGCACACTAAAATGCGCCCGTTATAGTACGCCACATCCCACGGCCGAGATAGGCCCATGCCCTGTTCAGAGGACGGCGGGAAGTACAGTTCCTCTATGAATGCATTGGGCTGCGCTGGGTGGCCGCTCGCTTGAAAGAAGGACAAGCATTCGTTGCCATGATCACATACCAGCACGAGCGGCTCAGGGCACAGGACAGACGGGTCGTCGAAAATTGTCACACCCGTCGGCTCAGAAAGGCATCCGTAGTCGCGGCCGCGGGTGCCAAAAGACCCACGCCAACCAAGCGTTTCGGCATCGAGAACTACGATCCGCCCATTGTCCGCATCTGTTACGAAGAGCCTGTCGTCCCATACGGCGATGCCGAAAACACGAGCGAAGACGCCGGGCTTGCGGGCCTCAGATGGGCTCTGGATGACCTCGTACTCGGTGTCCGAGCGGCAGATGATGGCGAGATCCGGCAACGAGATCTTGTGGACGCAATGCTCGCAGTCTGAGCCGACCCAAGCGACATCGCCGCGGCACGCCAGCCCAGTTGGGCGCCATTCCAACTGTTTTGTGCGCTGCTCGTCACACTCCCGCAAGATGAGTTTCAGCTCAGCTCTGCCATACTCAGCAACAAGCAGGCCGTACTCGGTGGAAATAGCCCACATCGGGTCGTGGCAGCCAGCCGTCCTGTGAGCGCCCAAGCCGTACTCTGAGTGTTGCTGGCTTAAGATGCTCCAGGTGGGTGGCTTGAGCAACGCTCGCTCTCGCACTACGAGTGCGGTCACGTCACGCAGAGCCCGGCAAGTTCCCGCGGGTGACCATTCCAGCCTCACCGGTTCGCCGTCACACCTTTCCACAACAGCAATATTTAGCTGTCTCACGACGAGCAGCAGAAGATCGGCGCAGAGCGCCGAGGTGAAGGACACCTCCGCGTCGCTCATTTCAACTTGATTTTTTATTTATTTATATTTAGCGTCGCGGGCCAGGAGGCGTCACTAACTCGTGTGAAGAGCACCGATGATGTAGTGAGTGAGTGGTCCCGGGCCCTGCGGGGAACTAAGTCGACGCAAGTTAGTCTGTGAGCTGGACGAGGGCTAGTGGTGCGCCGAGGCCGGTCAAGTGCTCCCGGGAGTCGTGGTCGGAGGCCGGGACACTACGCACACTAACTTAGTGCGCGGAAGTGAGTGCCTCCCGCCGGCCGCGAGGGGAGTGGTCCGGTGTGCCGCTCGTAGACGTAGTGCCCTTCGCCGGCGGACGGAGGCGAGATCGGCTACTATATACGCGCACTAACTTAGTCCTGTGCGGAAGTGAGTGGGCCGCCGGCGAGCGGGCTAGTGGGTGAGTGCCTCCCGCCACCCCGCGCACTAAGTTAGTGCGCGTAGTGAGTGGGCCGCCGGCGAGCGGGCTAGTGGGTGAGTGCCTCCCGCCACCCCGCACTAAGTTGTGCGCGTAGTGAGTGGGCCGCCGGCGAGCGGGCTAGTGGGTGAGTGCCTCCCGCCACCCCGCACTAAGTTAGTGCGCGTAGTGAGTGGGCCGCCAGCGAGCGGGCGGGCGGTGCCTCCCGCCACCCCGCGCACTAAGTTAGTGCGCGTAGTGGGTGGGCCGCCTTCTAGTGGTCGGCGAGGCCGTGGCCAGTGCCCGGCCCTGCGGCGCCGCCTGTGAGTCGTGCTCGCCACCCTCCCCCCCCCAAAAAACACTCGGATCCTAGAAGTCGGCATCGGTGCTGTGTCCAAGACCTGGTGACGCTCCTGTTCGGGCTGTGGCGGCCTGTTGTCAACCCCAAATTTGCCCCACATCGTCCGGGTCGTCGTCTCGAGCCCCACATCGTCTGCTATGGTCTGGAGCGTCGAGGTTGGCCCGCTCTCCGTCGGCTCGTCGGGTCTCGCCGTCAAGCCAAAAATGGATTTTGGCGTTCGTGTCGGAAATTTCAAGGCGAACGCCGGGATTGGAGACGTCCGCGAGGCGCTGTCCATTGAGTTTGGCGCCGAGGTGGAACAGTGCTTCTCTGCTACGGGCGAGTCGCTCGACGAGTTTCTGCGAAACTTGCGTGCCACCGACGGCCTCGCCGACAGTCTGCTCAACCCCGTCGTCGAGCGGTCCAACGCGATCGTCGCAGAGGTGGTGCGGTTGGTCGGCGTCTCTGTCCGCACCGGTCACATCGAAGGTGTGCTCGGTGTCAAATCTGGCGTCGGGATGAGGGCGGCGGTGGCCGGAGGATGGGAGGACCCAGAGGGGTATCGGATGGTGGGAGCCGGCGGCGAGGTTGCTGCGGGGCTCTCACTGGGCCTCTCGATCTTTGCCGGGCGCCGCGGCACGGACGAGGTCAAGGTGCTTCTCGACGCGAGCAACTTTGGCGTCGAGTTCGAAGTCCGAGTCAGAGACGAGACGCAGGCGGGGGAGGGAGAGGCCGCCGGGGGCGGCCACAGCAGCGCGGCGGAGGGGACGGGGGTGGCGGCGGGGATCCCCCCCGAGTAATAAAGCAGGGATGTCGGATGAGTCGTCATGCGAGAGGGGGAAAAAGTATATGTTGGGGGAGGAGACGCGCACGGCGCGGCGCAGTCGAGTCTTGAGAGTCTCGCGCAGAGAGACCCCCGCCCAACGTGTTTCAGTACACCCCTCACCCCCCGCGCGCGCGGGACCGCTTTTGAGATAGATCTCAAAAAACAACCTCTCCATCCGTCCATGCATGCATGCGTGACACAGTCTCTTACACACGTTACAGAGCGGTACTTCGCACAATGTGACCCTGTCCGAGGACCGAGCGTCGAGCGAGAGGCGGAGTGAAAGGCTGCGACATGCGAGGGCCACACGATGCCGCCCCGACCGCGGGAACACGAGAGCGGCGAGAGCTCTCCCCGCCACCGTCTCCTCAGCGCGAGGCTCCGACGCGCGCCTCCTCCTCGAGCCTCTCCACCTCCTCCTCCTCCCCCCTCTCCGCCCCGAGCCCGCTCGCCGTCCGCGCCTCCGCCGCCAGCCTCTCCGCCGCCAGCAGCGCCTCAGCCTCCAGCAGCTCTGGCGGCGGCTCGCCCGGCCCAGAGACGGCGGCCCAATCCGTCGGCGGCGCGCGCGCGTCCGCGCGGTCCAGGATATGCGAGACGAGCACCTAGGGTTCGGGTTCGGGTTCGGGTTCGGGTTAGGGTTAGGTCCAGGATATGCGAGACGAGCACCTAGGGTTAGGGTGAGGGTGAGGGTTCGGGTTCGGGTTAGGGTTAGGTCCAGGATATGCGAGACGAGCACCGTGATGTCGTCTGGCCGGCCTCCGCCCCAGAGGATGTCGTTATCCTTTGCGAGGATCGCAAAGGGCGAGTCGACGCTCTTGTCGAGGGAGAGCTCCTTGGCGCGCGCCTGCGGAGAGGCGCCGAGAAGGCTCAAGGGGGAGGAGGGCTCTAGAGTGGCAGCGACAGACCCGCGGCACGCGCCGCGATGGCATCCGCCAGCTGCTGCGGCGACGCGCCCGTGCCCGACCCCTCTATCAGGTCCTCTATCGTGTCGAGCAGCGCCTCCTCGTCCACGTTGTCGAAGAGGCCGTCGGTCGCGAGCACGAGGATGTCGCCCGGCCGCACGGGCACACGCACCAGGGAGGCGTCCTGCGAGGCAGTCATCGGACTCCTCACGCGTCACCTCAGGCATCCTCGAGGTCTGACGTGCCCTGGCCCGCGCAAGCGACTGTCCTGCGGCGTCTCGAAGCGGTCGTCCGGCGCGTCCCCAGAGTCGGGCGCCTGGGGGGAGGCTCCGAGAAGGTTCCGAGAAGGTTCCGAGAAGGTGGTCCGGCGAAGCGCACGCCGCGGTCCGTCGGCAGAGGTCTCTCGCCCTCCCCGAGCTGGTATCTCGGCTGCATCTCGGCTCCCTCTCGCCCTGCCGAGCTGGTACGGCGTGTTGAAGGCGCGGAGCTGCTGCGGCGACCGGAAGGCAATGTGCAGCTTCCGGCCGGCGGCTCCGATGCCGGCGGCGGAGTCGAGAGTGCCGAGGGCGGGCTCGACCATCGAGCTCGACCCCGCCTGGCGAGATATGGGGAGATATGGGGAGATATGTGGCTCGACCATCGAGCTCGACCCCGCCTGGCGAGATATGGGGAGATATGGGGAGATATGTGGCTCGACCATCGAGCTCGACCCCGCCTGGCGAGATATGGGGAGATATGGGGAGATATGTGGCTCGACCATCGAGCTCGACCCCGCCTGGCGAGATATGGGGAGATATGGGGAGATATGTGGCTCGACCATCGAGCTCGACCCCGCCTGGCGAGATATGGGGAGATATGGGGAGATATGTGGCTCGACCATCGAGCTCGACCCCGCCTGGCGAGATATGGGGAGATATGGGGAGATATGTGGCTCGACCATCGAGCTCGACCCCGCCTGGCGAGATATGGGGAGATATGGGGAGATATGTGGCTCGACCATCGAGCTCGACCCCGCCTGGCGAGATATGGGGAGATATGGGGAGATATGTGGCTCGACCATCGAGCTCGACCCCGCCTGGCGAGATATGGGGAGATATGGGGAGATATGTGGCTCGACCATCGAGCTCGACCCCGCCTGGCGAGATATGGGGAGATATGGGGAGATATGTGGCTCGACCATCGAGCTCGACCCCGCCTGGCGAGATATGGGGAGATATGGGGAGATATGTGGCTCGACCATCGAGCTCGACCCCGCCTGGCGAGATATGGGGAGATATGGGGAGATATGTGGCTCGACCATCGAGCTCGACCCCGCCTGGCGAGATATGGGGAGATATGGGGAGATATGTGGCTCGACCATCGAGCTCGACCCCGCCTGGCGAGATATGGGGAGATATGGGGAGATATGTGGCTCGATCATCGAGCTCGACCCCGCCTGGCGAGATATGGGGAGATATGGGGAGATATGTGGCTCGACCATCGAGCTCGACCCCGCCTGGCGAGATATGGGGAGATATGGGGAGATATGTGGCTCGACCATCGAGCTCGACCCCGCCTGGCGAGACGCGTGCCCGAAGGGTCGCCCGAGACTCTCCGAGGTGCCTCGGCACCATCGGTCTCCGAGGCGCAGCAGCGAGAGAGAGAGAGAGAGAGAGAGAGGAGAGCGGGGCGTGTGGCGGGTGTGTGCGAGGCACCTGCCGGCGCAGCAGAAGGAAGCCAGAGTCGCCGATGTTTGCCGCGCGGAGCTCTGTCTTGTGCGGGTCGAGTGAGACGAGGCAGGCGGTGGAGGAGCCTAGGAGGGGAGGCTCCGAAGGCTCTTGGGAAGGCTCTGGGGGGAGGGGGAGGCGAGGGCGGCGGCATTGGAGAGGGGCCGATGAGGCGCGAGAGTTGCATCTTGTGCCACGCGTCGAGGAGGACCTTGGCTGGGTCCAGCTCCTCTTCGCGCTTGAGCTTGGTGCACCTGTGGTACAGGACCGCATGTGCTGCCGTGCTCACGTCGACTGGCCAGGAGCCCCTCCTCCCGCTGGAGCGAGGCGCACGAGTTTCGCGACGCAAACATCAGACCGCGCGCATAGGCGGCGGGGTCGATGCCGCCCTCCCTCCCACCAGGAGCCGACCCCGTCGGCGACCCCAATCATGTGCGGCCTACAGGAGCCTTCTTGGAACCTTCTTGGAACCTTCCTGTAGAGTCGGCGACTCCAATCATGTGCGGCCCGAGGAGGAAAGCGTCCTCGCCACCGCTCTCTGTCTTGGCCGGGTGGGGCAGCAGCGCGACCGCCGAGTAGAGCTGCAGCGCCGCCTCGGCCGCGAGCCCGCTGCCTACAGGACGGTTCCAAGAAGGTTCCAAGAAGGTTCCTGCAGCAGCGCCGCCTCGGCCCGCGAGCCCGCTGCCGCGCGTCAGCTTGGTGCCGATCGGGACGCCCTTGCGCGGCATCACGGTCTGCACAAAGTCGGACTTGGCCGAGGTGCTCGCATTTCGCTGCAGGTGAATGTACTTTGCAATGTCCTTCGGGTTGAGGATGCCGAGCAGCGTCGAGCCGGCGAGCACCGGAATGTGCCGCCGGCCAGAGAGCGCCATCAGCGAGCGAACTTCGTCGAGCGTGTCGCTCGGGGAGAGGTAGACGAGGTCCTTCGCCGGCGTCATCACCGAAGAGACGGGAACGTTCCACCCCTCCGGCGTCGCGCCGGGCCGGCTCTTGTCGCCGTGCCTGCACCGCGGCCCACCGGAGTGTCAGCAGGAGGCCGCCGTGAGGGTGGTCGGGTTGGGCCTTGCCTGGCGATGCAGCGCAGGCAGTCCCGCGGCGTGAGGAAGCCAGCGACACGGTCGTGCGCGTCGCGCACGACGAAGCTGCCGATCTTCTCGTCCACCTGGTGGCACGCGGAGCGGTCGGTTCCATCTCGGCCGCATCTCGCGCCAGAGAGATCCACGGTCTCACCATGCGGTGAATGGCCGCAGAAATGGGCTCGCCCTCGCCGATGGACGCGCGCAGCGGGTCGTCCATCGTGTAGCGAGCGCCCGACACGGACCGCAGGATGTCCAGAGCTGTCACGACGCCTGAGCTGGGCCCGCCGCTGGCGTCGCAGAGCAGCCGGCGCTGCGCCGCCACGGCCGGCACGGACCGCGCGGTGCGAGCTGCCAGGGCTAGGAGCGGCGGCGATCTAGCGCTTCGCGCTGAGGCTCGCGAGAGGGAACGCGCATACATCGACAGCATCAGCGTCGTATCTGCGAGGGCTTCAGGCCCTGGCGAGTAGAGATCACGCCTCACTGCTTTTCGCTGCGCATGCTCGAGCCGGGGGGCTTGTGTGCTGTGAATACCCCGTGACGTACCTTTTTCCTTACCTTTTTCCTTTCTTTCTATCCCTTTCTCGACTGTCTGAGCTTGTGCGTCTTGGGTCCGTGGTTGTGTTTTTGTGTGAATACCCCGTGTTGCATGACTGTCTCTGTGCGATTTCGGGCCCGGGGTTGTGCGTTTATGTGAATAGCAGGTGTGGTCTCTACTCGCCAGGCTTCAGGCCGGTCAAAACGAGAAAAAAAATAGCAGTTTGTTTTTCGCTTGAGATCTCGGTCGCTAGGCTCACTCGAGGCGGCGGCAGACAGAGACAGCTGGCCGCCCATGGCGCAAAGGCTGACTGGGATCACAGTACTTGCGGAATGAGTGATCTCGGATTTATTTCTTTGTGGCCCGATGGGTGGACACTCGTCGACCTCTCCTTTGTCGACCTCTCAAGCCACCCGTGCTGCGGCCGCTCTGCTCGCCGATGCCCGCCCGAGGTGAGGCCGTCGAGGCGTGGGTGCGCGACGAGATGGACAAGCTCGAGTCTCGTCGCGAGCGCCCAGACGAGACGGCCTGGGAAGTTGAGACGCGGGGCAGCAAGGCTCGGCGCGAAGCGGACGCCGCAGGCCTCGCTTCGCTGCCGCCCGAGCTGCTGCAGTTCGTGTGGGAGCACTCCACCGCCCGCGACCTCGCCCGCTTGGCACTCACGAATGCTCACTGGGCACTCGCCGTTGCGCCCGCGCGCCGCGACTTCTGGCAGAAGCACGATGAGATGTGCGTTGCGCTGAAGAGCGCCCGCAGCTTCGAAGACATGGAGGCTGCGTCCAGCACGCTGGGCCTCCGGGTCGATCGCAGCCATGAACTCACGCACATCGGCCTGCGCCACTTTCGAGACGAGGAGCGCTTCGCTGAGCTGCAGCAGCAAGAGGCGGCTTCACATCGGTACTCAGCATTGCGCGCACTCCTCAAGATCGACGGCATCAACGCGTCGGACGCCATCGCGCGGCTGGAGTGCGCGAAGGAGCGTTTGGTGGTCCGCGAGCGTTGGCTGATCGATGGTGGTCCGACCTCTTCCCGCTATCGCATCGGCAATGAGAGTGCTCTCGTCATTGCGACGACCATGCGGCTGCTGCCCTCCGCGCTGATGGGCGTGTGCATGGACATCCTGCAAGGCTGGGAAGAGCGGGTCCTCAATGAGGACGGATCGTACTACAGCTGTGAGGAGCCGGCTGCACTCGTTGGCTTCGCTCTCGGCCACAACCTGCACCGCACCCTGTGGGATGGCCCGATGCTCACGCAGCTGCTCGAGAAGGCGGTCGAGGTGATGACAGGTGAGGACGTCTCCGAGGTGATGGTCGTGTTCAGCCTTCTCCAGCGGCTGCCGTTTGATCAGATCATGTGCGCGGCCAGCTCCTTCAAGCCGCTGAGCGAGCCTGGCAACATGTTCTTCTTCTTCGAGCTCTTCTTTTGCGAGATGGATGACGAGCACCCCTACTTTTGCCTCGGGCAGTGCAACTTTGGCTACAACACCCCTGCTGCGACGCTCTGCGAGGTTGTCAACGCTCGTGCGCTAGCCGAGCTCATTGCCATCACGGTTGAAGAGGAGCAGCAGTACGCGCAGAACGACGACCAGTACTACGAGATGGGGGCGCCAGACTACCACGAGCTGACGGTCCTCCTACTGCGCCGCTGGGTGGAGGCCAACAATTTCCCCGAGTCGCAGCTGCCGCGCGAGGAGGAAGATGCTTTCTTTGGCATCCTGGCCTCGGTCCCGGACACGGTCAAGGACTCGATCGCTCGCGACGCTCTCTCGTGGGTGCTCGGATGCAGCCGGCTGCCCGCGGCGGCGAAGCGGATCTGCAACATGCTGGCATGAGACAGCCGCGCGAACCACCTCCGCGCATGGCATGACGACTTTTCATTGACGCACATACACGCGAGTCGCGAGAGAGCCGCGACGGCAAACGCGCGAAACATGGCGCGCATGATGGAGCGAGAGAGTCGAGGGAGGGAGCCGAGCATGCGCGCAGTGGGAGTCTATGCGCGCGCTGGGACTGCGCTGGGACCCACGCACTGATCTGCTGGAAACGAATATCGCGTACGGTGAAGTTCAAACAAAATACAGAGACCCACATGAACAAAACCGTAGTCGGCACGTCGCGCCCCATGACGACATGACGCCCCTCTATACCCCTTACCCGTACCCCCCCGTCTCACTCTCTCAGCTCTCTCTCTCCACTCTGACTCTCCACACACAATACCGCTCCGATTTCCGTCAACTCACGCGTCACGGTCCACCTCTATTGCAATAGCAATGTGCAGCCGCTCCATTCATGGAAATCAGAATGAAAGAAAAAAGAGCCTTGTGAAAAGGGGTAACTATTGCCGTCGAATGTGTGTGGGTCATCTGAGTGAATTGGCACTAGCCCGCCCCATGTCGCCACTCAGCCTCTCGCTCCCGACGCCGCGCATACTCTGCCGGCAACACAGCTTCTATACGACTGCGTGAGCGGCCTCACCGCGGAAGTCCGCGCGCTACTGCTGGCCGTCGAACCACGCGAGGTAGCCCTCCGTCGCCTGCACGCCGTGCTCGTCGCCCAGCTGCTTGTACCGCTCGAGCTTCTGCAGCAGAAGCTTCCGCTCGAGCGCGCGGCGGTAGCCCGCCTCGTCGAGCGACGCCGCGCCCTCCACCTCGTACAACGACGCATCCACCACCGGCGCCTTCGGCGCGGACGGCGGCGGCGCAGGCGGCTTGGCCGCGGCCTATAAACCACGCGGGGGTGGCACCAGATGAGGGGCCGAGCCGCAGGGAGGGGGCCTCGTACCGCCGCCGCCATTCACGCCGGCGCAGCCCGGCCGTCGGCGCCGCCCGACATCAGCTGCGAGTAGCTGCTCCCGCTCACTACGCCCGCGCCGCTGCTTCCCGCGCCCCGCGCGGCCGCGGCGGGCGCAGCCGGAGGCGGTGGAGGCGGCGGCGGCGGCGGCGGCGGCGGCGGCGCCGCCGCCGCGGGCGAGACCAAATCCGCCGCGCGAGGAGCGGTGGCAAGATTCGGTAGCCCCGTCGGAAGCGAGGATGGGCTGCCGGCACGAGGCGCAGGCGGCGACGGCGGCGGCGGTGTCGGCGGCGGCGTGGTGGGAATGGGTGCAGCGGGGCCGCCCGCGGCTGCGGACGGGTCGGCGCGCAGATCGGCCTGGACGACGGCGAGCGAGCGGATGAGCGCGTCGAGCAGCTCCTAGAGGGGCCACGCGAAGCGTCTCGGACATGTCCCGGAGGCGTCCCTCGCCTGCACGCGTCCGCAGCGCCTGCCGCTCGGTCGGGGCGAGTCCGGCCAGCCCGTCTGCACTGCTGCGCCGCAGCAGCTCGACGGCACGCTCCAGAGGAGCGGAGCCCTCGCCCGCCGCCGGCGCCGGCGCAGCCGCCACCGGCGCAGCCGCCACCGGAGCAGGCGTGGGCGGCGGGGCGGAGGGCGGCACCGGGACCGGCGCCGGGAAGGGAGACTCGTCCCTCGTCGCCGCCTCCGCCGGCGGATCCCTCGTCGCCGCCTCTGCCGCCGCCTCAGCCGCCGGCTCCGCTGTGCCAACCGGCACTTGCGAAAAGGTGGAGCGCTTCCAGGCCGCCGCCGCGGCGGCGGGGTCAGGCGCGGCGGGGGCGGTGGGCGCCGGCTCGGGAGGAGGGGCGGTCGCGGCGGCGGCGGCTCCGTCGGCCGAGAGGGAGGAAGGCATGCCCAGCTTTGCCTGCGGTGTGAGCGGGCAGGTGTGAGCGGGCAGGTGTGAGCGGGCAGCTGTCAAGGGGTGCGAGTCCGCCCCCGTGTCCTCCTGGGACACGAGGGCTCACAGGGCGGCTGGTGCGCTGGAGCAACACAGAGGAGGTGCGGTGCTAGCTGCAGGAGCACAGCAGGAGCACAGCAGGAGCACAGGAGGAGCACAGGAGGAGCACAGCAGGAGCACAGAGGACAGGCTGGTGCTGTCTCGCATCTGCCGGGGCCCGGCCTCGCCCTCGGCGATGGCGCGCACGACCTGCTCCTCGTCGGGCGAGGGCGGCGAGGCGGCGCAGACGCGGCGGATCATGTCGCAGACCTGGCGGGAGGGGCGGGGAGGGACGGGGGGCGGCGGGGAGGGGCGGGAATTGGTGGGGGGTGGGGAGGGGGGCGAATGGGCGGGGAGAGGGAGCGAGGGAGGAGGGGGGGGGGGGTTGGGCGGGATAGACATGGGCGGAGAGAGGGGGAGCGGGCAGGGGGTCGGGGGTCGGCGGCACCTGCTGCGCCGGCGGCCTCCCCTGCCGCACGCACGTCGCCAGGTACTGCTCGTACTGCCGCCGCAGCTCCGCCGGGTCCTTGTCGGGCAGAGGGGCCGCCGCCGCCGCCGCCGCCGCCGCCGCCGCTGCGGGCGGCGCCGCAACCGCAGGCGCCGGTGGCGGCGGCGGCGTGGGGAGCGGCGCGGGGGGCGGCGCGGGGGCAGAAGTGACGAGACTCGAGTAGCTCGCGCTGCTGGCGACGCCTCCCGAGGAGGCGACAGCAGCGGGCGGCGCCGCAGCGGCGGAGGTCGTTGCCGGGGCCATCGCTGCGTAGCTCGTTCCGCTGACCACTCCGCCCGCGACCGAGACGGCGGGAGGTGCAGCGGGTGCGGCAAGCGGCGGAGGTGGAGGCGGCGGAGGCGGCGGCGGCGGCAGCGGCGCGGCAGGCTGCGGCTCGTGCCTTGCGAGGAGCGCCTCTCGTGCCTCGGCCTGCAAGAGAAGGGAGGGGGGGTGTTGGGGGCAGTGTGCTCCCCGCGGCGCCCGGGGCAGTGAGAATGTGGCCGCCTGCTTCTGCTGGTACTGGCGCACTCGCTCGGCACTCGCGTCCGTGTCGACGGCCTCGCCGCCGCGCTTCATGCTCTCCGTGTACTGGTCCGCCTAAAGAAGAGAGGAGAAGACTCGCGACGACAGAAGAGCGGCGCAGAGGTGTCCGTGGACTGGCCCGCGCCTTGTTGCCGTCGCCAACCCCGTCCATCTGCGCGAAGTCGGCGCCCGCCTTGAGCTCCGCGAGCATCGCCTCCACGTCAGGCCTGCGACGGCGGCAGAGGGGAGGCGTCACGAGGGAGCCAGGCCCGCGCAGCGGCAGAGGGGTGGCAGGAGGGCAGAGGGGAGGCAGGAGGGGAAGAGGCGTCTCCCGGAGATGTGTCGGAGGCGTGTGGGGGGGGTGTAGGTGCCTATGGGGCATCTCGGTGCGCGATGCGGACGCAGCGGAGACGGAGCGAGGGGCGCCGCGGGGCAGCGAGCAGGGTGTGCTCCTTGGCAGGGCAGGGAGGAGCGGCGTGGCAAGAGGTAAAGGATGGGCGGCGGCGTGTGGAGAGGAGCGGCGCGAGACAGACCGGCGGGCCATGCCCTTGTCCTCGAGGTACTGGATGTAGGCCTCCGCCTGGTGGATGGCCTCCGCGTTGCTCGGCGGCGGCGGCGGATTCGCCTTGGTCGCGGCGAGGTAGTCGTCGTTATCCCAGCCGCCCGGCATCATACCGTTGATCATGTCAGATTGGATCCTGGCGAGGCCGTGCGGGGAGTGGGACGTGAGGGTGCGCCACCACAGGCAGCCACTGGGCGAGTGCGCGCGAGGCCGGCTTCCGGAGGAAGCAGATCAGGGCTGAGTGGGAGATGGCTCGCGAACCGCTTCTTGCGCGCGTCGGTGAGCGGCGTCCCGTCATCCGTCTCCATCCGGAGGGCAACGGCCCGCGGGGTGGCGGGGGCCACGACCGCTGCCCGAATCGGCGCGCGGCCGCCCAAGCTGAGCGCCAGCGTGGCCGGCCACAACGCCATCACTCACCCCAGCTCGCGCAGCTCGTCCGAAAAAGAATTTTACAGGCCCTCCAGTGGTGTTCCTGTGTTAGTACTCCTCTCCTTAAAATCCCTGTGTGGTGGCGGCGTGCCGTTCTCCCATCCCTCCCTTGGGTTGTGTGTTTTCTTTCTTTCTTTCTTTGTACCTGTGTTAGTGCCAGTGCGCGAGTCCCGTGCCCAGTGTTGTGCGAAAAAGAAACACCGAAGTTATTTGTCCCGTGCCGTGACGCGCAGACGCGACGGTGCCTAGTACTATGCGACTGCAAACCCGCGCTGCAGCAAATTGAGAATGCGCACGCTAAGGGATGCCAGAGAAGGTCTGAGGGACTGGGAGAGAGGAGGTCTCCTAGAGGCGATTGCGTACTATAGATCGAAGCTGGAAGCGGTGGTCTTCGTGTGGGTGCCATCGCACGTAGGAATAGCCTGCAACGGGACCCCGCCGGAGGCTGGTTACTGATTTCCCGAGGGGTGCGGAATTACCTCGCCAGAGTCCGTATACACCGCTGTGGGTGTCCGTGCATGCATGAGTCCGAGCCTGGCGGTTAATAAAAATCTCTCTCTCTCTCTCTGTTCTTCACACCCTTCCTACATACATACATACAGGCGGACTGGCGCGTGCTGGCACTAACACAGGCAAACCGTGCAAAAGAATTTACAAACTCCAAAAATCCTTGCAAAATCCTGCAACGGTCTTGTGTCTCCTCTTCCCCCAAGAGCCCTCTCTAGGCTCTATAGCTTGGCATGTGGTCCGTCTACTTTATCTCCTTACATCCGGCGAAAGAAAACCAGCTTGGAAACACCCTGAGCGGAGCGAGCGGGACAGAGGCTGCCGCTCTGCGCACCGTGCCATCTCCGTCAAATAAAGCCGCCCCCCGACGAGCGGCGGGCGGCGGCCGCGTTGCGCCGCAGCGCGCGTGCGACCGCATCCAGCTCCGCGGACCGTTCCATCTGCCTTCGACTTTGAGGGCTGTCCAGCCGCGGGCTGCCCAGCGGCGCCAGCTCGTCTTCCTCCCAGGTGCCCACCAACACGCCGCCATCGGCGTACGCGTATGAGCCGGTCAGCGGCGCGCGCTCAACTGTCGGCCGGTTTTTGAGAATCTCCCGCGGGCCGTAGCAGCCGCGCGGCAGCCGGCAGAGGGGGTACGCGTGCGTCTGCGGCGCAAGCAGGCAGCCAGGCTCGGTGACGACGCCGCACCCGAGCTGGCTGCCATCGCCGACGACGGCGCCGAACTTCCTCCGCCCCAGCAGGTAGTTGACCATGCCTCTGCCGCCGCCGTCCGTCGCCTCGACGAGGATGGGGATGGGGATGGAGCTCTTCTCGAACAGGGGCAGGTTGGCCGCCACGGCGCCGCAACCAAAGTGCGCGCGGAAGCCGAGCAGCGAGTCGCCGACATAGCCATGGTGCGGCAGCTCGCCGTCCCCGAGCGCGAGGACGTGCTTCAGCTCGCCGCCCACCACGCACCGCTCGCCGAGCACGACGTCCTGCCGGATGTACGCCCCGTGCCGTAGGAGACAGCCCGCCCCGATGTAGGCCGGGCCCCGCACCAGCGCGCCCGGCTCGACCACGACATCTTCGCCGAGGAAGATGTCTCCTGGGGGGCGAGGGATCGGCTGTGGTCCTTCTGAGCACTGGTCGGCCGGGGTTGGGATGGCTGCTGCAGTCTGTGCGGGTGAGGATTCGCACCGACCGAGACGTCGAGCGTGCTGCCGGCCTCGATGCGCGCGCGTGAGCCAATGATGACACATCGCTGCGGGTTCCGCGCGGACTCGCGGCCGCCGCCGATGAGCCAAGCCCGCCCGCTCAGCGCGCCCGGCGGGGAGATGGTCGAGGCGCGGCTGAGGAGCAGGCAGCGAGGACGATCATGGATACGCCATGCGCGTGGTCGGGCCGGGGGTGAGGCCTAGGCCTCTCCTGCCCCCCACTCAGCTGCATCTCTCGATTAGATCTGCCCACCTCTGCATGACACCCACGCCGTCTACGGTGCTCCTTAGCTTGGAGTCGGACCTCGCCTCTTCGAGCAGGTCCGCGCAGTGGGCGTGCAGCCCGTCGAGCGCCGCGACGATGGAGGGGCAGTCGCGGAGGTAAGCCGCGTGCTTGCAGGCGCGCGCATCAGCGGCGTCCAGATCAAAGTAAAAGCCGGGCGTCAGCTGCATCGGCACCTGGTGAGAAGGGAATGAGGGGCGCAGTGTCGACGCGGCTTCGTACTCGCGCCCCCGGGGGGCGCTCGCGCGAAGAACGTCCCTCTATCTCTTTCCCATCTCCCTCTTTCTCTCACTCACACTCTCTCTTCGCTTACTCAAGAGGCACATCGGCGGCGGCGACAGTTGAGAGTTCAATGCTGGTGGCGTCATCCAACTCAACGCCCAGGAACCCACGCTTGCGTCGCCTTAGGAGCAGCAAACAGAGCGCGGCGAGGGCGGCAGCAGCAGCGGCCGCGGCCACGGCAGGCGGCGCTACAGCCATACACACATGTGTTTATGAAACTCGTCCGTTCCTATTCGGGTGCCGATCCGGAGTTCCATTCGGGAAAGAACTTGTCGGAAGAATTTTAAACCAAAGCTCCCTCGCACAACACTGGGCACGGGACTGCAAAAGAACAAACACCTCTCACGGATAAATAATAAACAAAGAAAACGGACATCGCAAGCTAGGGCTGGGTCGAGGACAGATACGTCCCCACGTTTGCAGGATTTTGCAAAAGCGAGGGGGCGCGTGGCGGCGCTGACTGAGAGGGCTGGGCACGGTGGGCACAGCGCACAGACTGCACAGACGTCACGAGTGAGTGAGCACACACACACACACACACACACACACACACACACACACACACACACACACACACACACACACACACACACACACACACACACACACACACACACACACACACACACACACACACACACACACACACACACACACACACACTGCGCCCAGGAATAGTTAGAGGCTGCGCAGGCCTTCCCCGGTATTTTATTAGTCGATACGAGTAGGGCCGCATTATATGAAAACCCCAGAACGTCACGCCCCCGCGCGCGCGGCGGCGCGGGGTGGCGCGGAGTGCTGCTTCAAAGGGCTTGCTGTACGGCTTTATGTATGTGTGGGCGCGTGTGCGGTGTGTGGGCGGGGGGCGCCCCCCCCCCCCCCCCGCGCTGAGCGCTGTCAGCGGTGGGCCACCTCTCGGCTCACGCCGCTGACCCAAGCACCCAACTGCATGCGTGGCGGCGCCGGCGGCGCAGTCAGAGTACAGAGAAGGAGAGAGACAGTGCAGGCCTGTGTGCAGCCGCCAGCCGGCGGCGGACGGTGTGAGGCTCGCCAAGCACACCACTCAGCGGCGAGGGGGAGGGCGGCGGCGGCGGCGACGCGCGAGGCGGTGGCAGCGGTGGTGCGGACGGCGGGATTGACAGGGGAGGCGGCGGCCACGAGCAGAGCGGCGGCGAGAGGGGGGCAGCGGCGAGGCGCCGGCGAGCGAGGCGCCCGCGCCATCAGAGGGACGCCGCCGCGAGATGGAGGGCGGCGGTGACGGAGGCGAGGGGCGAGGCGGCGGCGGCGGCGGCGGCGGCGAGAACGGCGGCACCGAGTTTGTCTCGGTGAGCGGAGCGGCGGCGGGAGGAGGAGCAGGCGGCGGCGCTCTCGCTGTTGAGCGCGCTGTTTTGAGCCTGGGATCCCCATGCCACTGCGACCGGCGTGCCCGGCAACGGAGATCGCGCGCGCGCCGCATTCACGACGCGGGCGCGATCTTCGCGGAGTTGGGTCCCCAGAGGGAAGCGGTCTTTTCGGCCGACGTCCAGCGGCGCGCAAGGAAGCAGGCGCAGCGCCGGCGGTGTCGCGCTGCATGGGCCAGCAGGGAGCAGTGGCGAGGGGCGGCGGGCTCGGACGTCCACCGAGTCGCTCCGCGCGGCAGGCGGAGCGCGCGCGGGACAGGAAGCTCTCGGCAGGCTGAAGAGGACATGTGTATCTCGCACTTATTGCGTGGCGGGCGGACGGGCGGGATCCACTTTGATTCGCCACACGCCTTCCGCGAGTGAACCCCCCCCACACACACCGCACACCACCACAACACACAACACACAACAAGTGCTCGTCTTTTCTGCTATCAAATTTGGAGCACTTGGAGTGCAGTCATTAGCCTCACATCCAGGGCCGGGGAGCTAAGTAAGGAGCGCACCCAGCGGGCCGGATGATCGGGATCGGGTTGCGGGCAAGGGAAATTCATACATTATTTTCAGGGTTTGCTTGTAAAATTCTTTTCAGCTCAAGTAGGACTCCCCTCCAACAGCTCCCTGCTGCTCGGTGTACGAACTCTGTTCACACCGCGCTGGGATTTCTGCGGCTAGCAGACAGCCTCCAAGACATGGGACTGGCACCGGCCATTCGCCTCCGCGCCCGCTCGCTTGCGGCAATTTCGAACCGTATCAAAGCACAGTGCTCGACCAAGGCGAAGCTCTCGACTGCGGCAAGCGACTCGCCCGTGGCCGAGTACGTGACGGTGACTCAGCACGACGACCGCACAGCCACGCTCACGATGAACCATCCGCCGGTCAACAGCCTCAGCCTCGAGATGCTCCAGGCGCTGCGAGACGCCTTTGTCGACCTGGACGCGTCCGGCTGCCGCGGCTTCGTGCTCGCCTCCTCTCGGCCCACCATCTTCTCGGCGGGTCTCGACATCACAGAGCTGCACAACCCGAGTGAGGCGAGGCTGCGCGAGTTCTGGTCCACGCTACAGGACGCCTTCCTCGCGCTCTACGGCTCGCGCTGCGCCACCGTCGCCGCCATCGACGGCCACTCTCCCGCCGGAGGTTGCCTGCTCGCGGCGTGCTGCGACGAGCGCATCATGGCGCGCGGCAAGTGGGGGATCGGGCTCAACGAGACGCAGCTGGGGATCGTCGCGCCCTTCTGGTTCGCCGACGCGATGCGGCCCCTCATGGGCCAGAGGTGAGAGCGACCCATTCTCCACCCCTACGTCGCAGCGCGGTGGGGCCCCGCGCACGAGTCCGCATGCCGGTGTCCGCCCGCCGCCTCGCAGGCGCCTCGACCGGATGCTGCAGCTCGGCCAGCTCCTCTCGCCCGACGAGGCGCTCGCGGCCGGGCTGGTGGACGAGCTCGAGGAGCACGGCAGCGGCGCAGTGCTTGCACGCGCGAGGGAGGTCCTCGGCGCGTATGTCGCCATCGACGCACCCGCGCGGGCGGACTCCAAGCTGCTGCTCCGCGCCGAAGCCCTCGACCGGCTGCGCGCCCGCAAGCAGGACAACATCGACTTCTTCGTGGCCTGCTGCATGAGCGAGCGGTACCAGTCCCGGATCGGCGCATACCTCGACGCCCTCAAGGAGCGAAAGAAAAGGTAGTCCGGCCGTCGAGCCAGCCAGCCATTGGCGTCCGTCAGTTCAGTTCACTAGTCCCGGGCGAGGCTGCGCGCGACGGCCCCCGTGCACCGAAGGGGGCAGGCCCGTCGACCAGGCCCGTTGACGTGGAGGGGAGTCTCTGTCTGCTTGGCGGAAGGCCGCCATGCGTGCGCCGACCCATCGAACGGCGACGCGTGAGTCTCCGGCTCAGCGCGACAACGGGGGGCAGCGGTGCAAAGGGATAGCAGACGGGGAACAGGACACAGCCACACAGACCCAGCTCACCAGCAGCTCACCCAGCTCGCTGTACGTACTCAGTGTACCTGCGACGGTGTATCAGTCGCCCTATGCCACCGTGCATATCC